TAGATAAGATATGATTAAAATTAGAATAGATCAATGTAATATTCAAAAAAAGCTAAGGGTAATACTGACCATAGAAAGATTTTCCCGAACTTATGCTTTTAAAGAGAGTATGATATGATATATATTGTATCAATCCACGTGTTTAGAAAAACAAGAAAAAGAGAGATTTATATTTCACTATTGTTAGGGGTGTGTAGTTTCAACGTCTTGTAATCTCTTCTCAAAAGAAATAAGATCTTCTCCCTTCTCCCGGTGGACGTACACGGATCATCTTGATCGCGTGGAACCACGTTAAATCTTGTTGTTTGTTGTTTGTCTTGATTGTTTGATAGATTTGGGGTTTCTTGATTATTTAAGTTTTATCTTCCGCAGCTTGTATACTCCAACAGCTTTCAGCCCATATCGCTTGTTTTTGCAGGGATCTATATTTTCCATGCCACATCAACTTCAAGGCCGCCACATAGGCATATTTTCATGTTTGTATAGCTGCACCCAAATAGTGTGTAAAACTGAGTATGAACTCACTTTCTGACAACAACTTACCGCTTTCCAAAGAAACAAAAGGCAACCAAAGAGCCCCTAAGATGGAAAACTGGTCCATGTTGATGATAACAATGAGAATGGAAAAGATGGAAGTGAAGATATCAACATCTTCCCAAATCCGTAAAGGCTGGAGTTGAGAAACATGGAAGAGTTAACGAGCCTCAAGTGTGGGAGGAGGTTACTGGTTCTCCCTTGCTTGGCAACTATAAAAGTTTAAAAGTGCCCAAAACTGACTGACGTAACACAATCATTACAGCAAGAGTGAAAGTGATGGGTGCAGCATAGTGGTGGCAAAGGTTAGAATGGGAAACGAAGACATCAAGTCACACCTCATGCCTCTCTTGAGGGATGAAGATTTCAGGCAAAGGTTAGAATGGGAAACGAAGACATCAAGTCACACCTCATGCCTCTCTTGAGGGATGAAGATTTCATACCGAGAAGTTCTGTCATCAAATATGAAGATGAGTCAGAGAGTGATTCGGACTTTGGGAAATGGATCCTCCAGGAGAGACCACACTGAGGCTTGACTAAGAGGTATGTTGTCCATCTACATTTTGTTAAGACCTTCCAGTGGCTAGAGAATCTTCTTATCAAAATTTAGTTTAGATGAAACTTGGAAGTATTTCCCTTGTTTTGGGAGGAAGATACGCCAGAATCCATCAAAACCCAATTTTAATCTGCTATTTGTTGCACAAAATAGAGTGTGTCCATATGGTGCAGGAGTGACTAAAGACATTAATTGTGTAATTCTAACGATTCTTCGTTTCTCTGGCTTATAAACCTTGGGTCAACACAAAGTCATGTCCCCATAATTTGGGAAACATCCTGGAACAAAAAAGAAGAAGTTCAAGCCAAGATACCATGAATTTGGCAATGTACACATGAGTGCGCCTACCACATTTCCTGTTTTTATTTATTTCATTATCATTAATTGATTGTGTATTCATTTCTACCTAGAGTTGATTTTATGAACATAAATTTCACATGCAAAAGAAATTAGGAGTAATGCACCATACTTGTTGTCCCCTTGGTTGTTTCCTAACTGGTATTAAATGAATTCTCAAGGTTGCATGTATGGAGATATGGGAAGAACAACTTGTTGTGTACGCTCAAGTTTTCTGCAAATGCAATGCAAACACTTTACACTCATGCAGTTTACATTTCCTTTTCTTTGTTGCTTATGTTGCTAGTTAAGGTAACTAGTCCCCAACGCCTATCTTAAGAAAGTTGATCTCTCCTAGTCTTGCTGCAATATGTTTAGAAAACCATTTCCAGATTATGACATCTTTAACAAGATAACCAACTAATTATGAAGCCTCTAATGATTTTATCACAAATTCAATCTTGTCATATATTTGATTAGGGTGCAACGAAGCTTCACCAGGTTTGGACCAAAGAGAAAATGGAGTCTGAATATTTTCTATTTGATTTTGACAATATAACCATGACACATGGAACACTCAACTAAAGAAGTAAAGTAGTTGTTACCATCAATTTCACAGGAATATAAACTCTATTGGGTAATTGAGAGCTAGGCATATCAACAAACACTTGGTGGGCAAACAAAACATGACAAGTAAAGATAATGAAAATAAAAATCCAATGCACTTTGAGCAATTACAAGACACTCATTTGCATGAGAAAGAACGCACCTTGAAGGTGATTTTGCGCAGTTGCGATGAATGGGAGAGAGAGAGAGTTTGCATGAGAAAGAACGCACCTTGAAGATAATTTTGCGCAGTTGCGATGAATGAGAGAGGAGAGAGAGAGAGAGAGAAAACTGAAAAGGGAAACAGAATTAGGAAACGCTTTACACGAGGAAACACGATTCGGAATCAGGTTTTTTCTAGAACAATTTTTCACTTTAGCCCTATTTAAATTTTTTATTATTAAAATCGACCCTTTTTTCTTTTATTTACCAAAACCGACCCGATTTCTTGATTAGCGGCTTAATCACATTCCTAATTAGTCGGGGTTGCCAACCCCGACTATTTAGGACATTAATTTTTAGGGTTTAAGGCTTCTAATTAGGGTTTAAGACCCTCCTAAATAGTCGGGGTTGGCAACCCCGACTAATTAGGAATGTGATTAAGCCGCTAATCAAGAAATCGGGTCGGTTTTGGTAAATAAAAGAAAAAAGGGTCGATTTTAATAATAAAAATTTTTAAAAGGGCTAAAGTGAAAAATTGTTCTTTTTTCTAAGTCCACATAGGCACGTCATCAACCACACTCTTAATCACACCCCCACAATCTTTATAGTGCTAGTGAGCCATACATGATATTTTTTTTTTAAAATATCATGCATGGCCCACTAACACTATAGAGAGTGTGGGGGTGTGGTTGAGAGTATGGTTAAGAGTGTGCCCCTAGCATTATTTTTTTTCCAAATATACCCGAACTAAGATTTTTGTAATAATAACCTTTACGATTAACTGCATTCCATTACATGTGGAATGATGTAATTACATGGTCGCCCCCAGAGTTTGCGTATTTGCACGGAAAGTCCCGCTTCTTGTCATTACATGGGTGACCTCGAATCCAGATGACAAGAAACTCTTAAGCTACTTGTGCAACTGCAATCGGTAACCTCAGGGTTACCCATGTTGATACATAGACTTTATGATCACATGTGTAATTACATCATACCTTAATGTACCAGACTATAATTAATCTCATCATTAAAATCATTATATATTTTCTTTATCTTTTGACACCGTTCTGTTAAAAGTTTGACATGAGTTACTTGGAGATAAAATTTAGAAAGAAATTAAAGTAGAGAAGATAATAAAACAGATGGTGGATTAATTACTCAACAGTTTGGAGGTAAATTTAAAATATCTAGAATGTGATCAATATTTTGAAAATAACTCTATCACTCTCCTATTCTTCACCTTCTGTTTAGATTTCGTTTATATAAAAAATATTTATAGTTTTAACTAATAAGACCAACATATCTCTAATATGAAGAATCGAATTTGATCTATGTCTGAAAATTATTTTCTAATATATACACTTATGAATGATATATCACGAGATTAAGGAAAAAAATACATCTATGATATCAGGACCTGAAATCCTAGTTTAAGAACAAATAAATCATTCGATTCGGATGCAAATCTGACTTATACATGTCATTATTCAGTGCAGTTAAATCTGTAAAAGAACATGTATTTTTGGCTAGTAAACATGTTTAATTTGATCACAGAGTAAGCCAGATATACAAGTGAGAAAAGTTTATCACTCGAGTATTTCATAGCTTCAAGTCTAATGACATCTAAGAATAGGTAAGAGTTGCAAGCACATAAGACTCGTCGCAATTAAAATGATAGAGAATAGATCATATATTTTTGTTTGGGAACCATCAAAACTCAAATAAAGCAAATGTAATATTTGTCGTAGGGCGTCATAAATAGGGGGGTTTTCAGAAAAAATAAACTCATGGAGAAGAGTAATGTTCAAACTCCTTTGAGATGGTGCAAGCAAAATATACTGGTAAATAACTAATTCTTAACCACTCAAATTTATAATTTCTCATCAAGCCAATCATGTGCTCACTTACGAGCATATCTATGAAAGTTTCCATTATATACCACGCAGCCCTAAAATCTCAATGTTCACAAATTACCCCTCAAAACTAGTATGTTAGGTATTTCTACCCCCTTTAACTTAAGAATATTTGTTTTTAAAACCAAGGCAAGGTAAAAAATTCCAATAATTTCCAGCAAGTTTGCCTCAGTTATACGTTCAAAATCTAAAATTGTTAAGTGAAAGGGTGTAAGTAACAAATGCGAGAGAGTGGGGGGTAAATTTCTCCAAAATCCCCCGCGTTCCCAATTTCGGTCATCTTCTTCCTCTAGAAAAATATCCAAAAAGAAAAGAAAAGAAAAGAAAAATGTCCACCGTCTCCCTCCTCCTCTCCTCCCGATTCCCGACGAAATTTCATGTCCCGACGAGACCCAACTCCCGCCTCCTCTCTCCCATCGAAACCCTAAAACTCCGGGCCCCGCCAACTCCCCTCAGAAACCCTAACCCTAGGTTCAAAATCTGCAGCTCCTACACCCCAACCCCCTCCACCGCCAACGCCTAATCTCCGCCCTCTCCTTACGCCCTCCCTTCGTCAACTCCATCGCCTACGGACGCTTCTCTTCTCCCGCTTCCCCCTCCTCCTCCCCCTTCGTTCTCCCCTTTCTTCCCCTTCCTCTCCCTCCTCCACTCCCTCCCCTTCGCCGGCTTCGTCGCCTTCTTCGCCCTCTACCTCGGCGTCGTCCGAAACCCCAGCTTCTCTCGCTTCGTGAGGTTCAATTCCATGCAGGCCGTGGTTCTTGACGTCCTCTTGGCGATACCCTCGCTGCTGCAGAGGGTTTTCGGGGTGCCGACGAGGGGGGTGGGGTTTAAGGTGATGGAGTTCGGGTACGGTGCGATATTCTGGGGTGCTTTGTTTATAGTGTGTAGCTGTGGTCTTGGGAGGACTCCGTATTTGGCCCATCGTGGCCATCGCGGCGGATCGGCAGCTGTGAATGTGAGTTTTTTTTATGTTTGTTTTTTCTCCGGGGTAGTTTTGATGTTAGGATTTTGTCAGAAGTTTTAAGCGTGAGTTTGGTTTGGTAAATATATGAGATGAGATTTAGTAACAACATTTAGATAGATGATGGATATATGGTTAAATATATTTGAAGTCATTAGCCTAGTGTAGTTTTGAATTTTTGGTAGTGGTTGAACATTGTATGCTAAATAATGGTATATGGACTTTC